CCTGGAAGTCCACAGGCACCTACGTTGACGAGGTTCCCCCGCCTGGGGCGAACATCGTCAGTGGCATGTGGATTTTCAGGGTGAAGCAGCCGCCGGGTTCTCCGCCTGTCTTCAAGGCGCGTTACGTGGCTCGTGGCTTCAGACAGCGGCAGGGAGTTGACTACTTTCAGACCTTCTCTCCCACCCCGAAGATGACCACTCTTCGGGTACTGCTGCACATAGTTGCTCACCGCGACTACGAGCTGCACTCTCTTGACTTCAACACTGCTTTCTTGCAGGGCAGCCTTCACGAGGAGATCTGACTGCGTCGCCCACCTGGCTTCACTGGGTCTTTTCCTCCTGTCACCCAGTGGAGCCTCCGGCGGCCAGTCTACGGTCTCCGCCAGGCACTGTGTGATTGGCACGACACACTGAGGACTACACTTGCGGCTCTTGGGTTTGCTCCCTCTACTGCTGAGTCGTCGCTGTTTCTGCGCACTGACACTTCTTTGCCGCCGTTCTACATCCTCGTGTACGTCGACGACTTGGTCTTTGCCACAGCTGACACTGCTGGACTCGCCCACGTGAAGTCCGAGCTGCAGAAGAGACACACGTGCACAGACCTGGGTGAACTGCGCAGCTACCTTGGCTTGCAGATCACCCGAGACAGAGCACGCCGCACCATTACCCTGACTCAGTCACACATGGTACAGCAGGTCCTTCAGCGCTTCGGCTTCACGTACTCCTCACCTCAGGCCACTCCTCTACCTACTCGCCACTCGCTCTCAGCTCTGCCTTCGGATGAGTCCGTAGAGTCGAGTGGCCTGTACCCAGAGCTTGTTGGCTGCCTCATGTACCTGATGACCTGCACACGACCTGACCTTGCATACCCTCTTAGCATTCTCGCACACTATGTTGCTCCTGGGAGACACAGACCGGAGCATATGGCTGCAGCGAAGAGGGTGTTGCGCTACTTGTGCAGTACGTCGGGCATGGGGCTTGTGCTTGGAGGGCAGAGTCCAGTGGTCCTCACTGGGCACGCAGTAGCTTCTTGGGCTGACGACCAGGCTACGCAGCGGTCGTCACAGGGTTACACCTTCAGCCTTGGTTCCGGCTCTGTTTCGTGGCGGGCTACCCGCTCGTCTTCTGTTCTCGGCTCCAGTTGTGAGGCTGAGATCTACGCCGGGGCCATGGCTGCACAGGAGCTTCGCTGGCTCACCTACCTGCTGACTGACCTCGGAGAGCCGCCTCGTTCTCCTCCAGTGCTGTACGTAGACAACAAGGCCATGCTGGCCTTGTGTCGAGAGCAGAGACTGGAGCACAGAACGAAGCACATTGCTCTCCGCTACTTTCTTGCTCGTGAGCTGCAGCAGCGTGGTCAGCTGCGCCTTGCGTACGTGGCCTCTGAGGCCAACACTGCTGATATCTTCACCAAGGCGCTTGCGCCTTGTGATCATCAGCGCTTCTGTACTCAGCTGGGTCTTGTGCCTGCCTTGCCTCACTTGCTCACCTTTTGACCTTGCTTGTACTGTTACATATATATATACACCTGCTCTTGCTTGTCTAGCCTTTTACATATATATGTACTCCTGCATGTGAACTGGCCTTGTGGCCTTGACCTTGTGCTCGGAATGTGTGGTGACTTTGTGATCCACCCTGAGCTTGCTTTGCTTTGCTTTGCTTGACTGGTCTTGTGACCCCTTGTACTCCCCCACTTTGCCTATGGGGGTGTGTCAGAACATTATAGCTTATGCGTTTGTGTTGGCTGTAGTGGGGTAGACCATATGGGGTACAACCCAATTAGGGTTAGTACTTGTACCCAACTCTTTCATAGTGCATTCATTCTCATTTCAGTTTTCTCACTATAAACAGAATTTCAAGTAAAAACTGTACGTGCGCTTATGATAAGTCAAGGTTTTTTAGGGGGGGCGCTTATCATTGAGGAACGGCCATAAGCGCCATGCTCCAGATATAAGCGCCGGCGCCTTTAATCGAACGGCGCCTATATCCGGGGCCATACGGTATTCGACTGGCCCATGTTCAAATACACCTACTAGAGCCTTCTCGGCTCGGTTCTTGCGCGAAGAAAAGTTCGGCGCCTACGATTTCGGCCGTTTTTTCCGACAAGTGCCTAGAAAGCGCGTGAATCCCTATAGGCGTAGGGAAAAGCATTCAACAACCCGGATTTTATTGCATGTTTGACTAGCCCATATTCAAACACACCTATTAAAGCCTTTTTGGCTTGGTTCTTGCACAAAGAAAAGTTCGGCGCATACGATTTCGACCGTTTTTGCCGACAAGTGCCTAGAAAGCGTATAAATTCCTATAGGCGTATAGAAAACCATTCAACAACCTGATTGTTATTGCATATTCGAGTGGCCCAAGTTCAAATACACCTTCTAGAGCTTATTTGGCTTGGGTTTTGCTCGAAGAAAAGTTTGGCGCCTACGATTTCGGCCATTTCTGCCGACATGTGCCTAGAAAGCGCGTAAATCCTTTTAGGTGTAGGAAAAGGCATTCAACAACCTGAATTCTTTAGCATATTCGACTGGCCCATGTTCAAATACACCTATTAGAGCCTTTTTGGCTTGGTTCTTGCGCAAAGAAAAGTTCGGCGCCTACGATTTCGGCCGTTTTTGTCGACAAGTGCCTAGAAAGCGCGTAAATCCTTATAGGCGTAGGGAAAAGCATTCAACAACCTGAATTCTATAGCATATTCAACTGGTTGATGACCGATGATGCTTGCAACCCTCCCACGCTCTTTCTGGCTTGGTAATAGGACCAGACAAGCGCAGCCAAGTGACCCGGCAAAAGAAAAACGCTCGGAACGAGCGCTTCAATTTGATTGGTCCGCGGCGTTGGATGCGTCTTTTTTCATGCTAGTCTACTGGATTAGACTGTTTTTTACATCCACAACGAGTGGCTCAATTGCATTTCACGTGGTTTGCATGATTTGAGCGCCCGAACTCTGCCCGGTACGCTCATTATAGGCGCCCATACTGACCAGGGTGGCCAACGCATCACTTTGATCGGCCAGCGGCGTTGGATGCGTCTTTTTTTGTGCTACTCCACTCGATTAGACTGTTTTGCACATCCACAACGAGTGGCTTCATTGCATTCCACGTGGTTTGCATGATTTGAGCGCCCGAACTCTGCCCGGTACGATCATTATAGGAGTCCATACCGACCGGGTGCCCAACGCATCACTTTGATTGGCCCGCGGCATTGGATGCGTCTTCTTTCATGCTAGTCTACTCGATTATACTATTTTGCACATCCACAACGAGTGGCTCCATTGCATTCCACATGGTTTGCATAATTTGAGCGCCCGAACTCTTCCTGGTACGCTCATTATTGGCGCCCATACTGACCAGGGTGCCCAACGCATCACTTTGATTGGCCCGCGGCGTTTGATGCGTCTTTTTTTGTGCTAGTCTACTAGATAATACTATTTTGCACATCCACAACGAGTGGCTCAATTGCATTCCACGTGGTTTGCACGATTTAAGCGCCCGAACTCTGCCCGGTACGCTCATTATAGGCGCTCATACTGACCAGGGTGCCCAACGCATCACTTCGATTGGCCCGCAGCGTTGGATGCGTCTAATTTTGTCCTAGTCTACTGGATTAGACTATTTTTCACATCCACAACAAGTGGCTCCATTGCATTCCACGTGGTTTGCATAATTTGAGCGCCCGAACTCTGCCCGATACGCTCATTATAGGCGCCCATACTGATCAGGGTGCCCCACGCATCACTTCGATTGGCCCGCGGTGTTGGATGCATCTTTTTTCATGCTATTCTACTGAATTAGACTGTTTTGCACATCCACAATGAGTGGCTCCATTGCATTTCGCGTGGTTTGCATGATTTGAGCGCCCGAACTCTGCCCGATACGCTCATTATAGGCGCCCATACTGACCAGGGTGCCCAACGGATCATTTTGATTGGCCCGCGGCGTTGGATCCTGCCATTCTATCGTGCTGCTGTAGCGAGCAGGCACACCAATTCTCTTGCTGCTTGTTAAGCCGTTTTGTTTTCAGATGCCAACGAAGAGGCAGCACAGGCTTGCAGCACTCTTGGCTTGCAGCTGTCTTTCGTTTTTCCCTTGTCGGCATGCTCCTTCTATCCCTCCATCCCTCTGTGTGAGACTTCTTAAAGAGAGGCCATCGGGGCAATGAATCTACGGAGACATTCAGAGTTGTTTCTCCGCCTTGTTCCTCTCCCACCATCCCTTTTCTTTCCCTTACAAATCAACACTCTCTTTGTGCAGCTGGACGCAGCCACATAGGCGAGCAGGGCACTGGAGGACAGGGGAGCACTGAGGCAGGCAAAATTCGCTCCTCCTTCCTGTTATCCTCCTTTCCCACCCATCTCTCCTCGTTTTAGCAGATCAACACTTGCCCAGCTGGATGCAACCACACAAGCCAACAGGGCATTGGAGCAGGTAGTTGAGGAGACAGAGGCGGACAGCAAGGAGGCGATGGCGCGGTTGCACGCCATAAAGGTAGAGGTTGAGGCGCATCGTGCGACTGTTACACGGTTACAATTTCTCGTGCCCCTCGTGGCTCCCTCAGTGGAGTCGGACGAGGCCGCCCAGTTCTGCCAGAACGTGGCTGAGGAGTTTCGATCACCGACTTCATAGCAAAATTGTGACGGGCGGCTGAGGCAGAGTGGTAGGGTTGAGAGGCTAAGCAGGGTGATGGTTCGTTGGGGGCCAATGGGGCAGCGCAAGGAGTGCAGTTTGTGCTTAACAACCCTTTCAATCTTGGCAGGAAGCAACAATAGTTTATAGCCTTGTGTGTGGTTGGGTTGGGCTCTCCTCAGCCAGTTGAGGCTGTATACATGCTTGGTGAAGGTGAGCACCTATTGTGTGTGACTGACTGCCTGTGCCGAAGTTGTTTTCTCACAGGTCAGCATACGATGTCTTTACATGGCTGAGTTTTTGGGTGACGATGGTCTCAACTAACACTGAGGGAGTTCCAGCAACATCAGCAGCATGCCACGTCAGCAGCTGGCATCACGAAGTCATGGTGGCAACGGGGGAAGCGGGCAGCGAGTCGAGGTACTGCAGGAGGTGCTGATTGGACGAGGCGGAGAGCGCCAGGTCATCGTGCATCTGAGTCAGCGCCCTTGACAGCGCTTGCATGGGCGGCCGCAGCGCTGCCCGCCCCGGCGTGCCAGGCGGCAGGGCGAGAGCCTTGCCGTGTTGCAGGACCAACTCCTGCAGTGCAGGAGAGGGGAGGGGGGGGGGGAGGGAGGGGAGGGGGGAAGTGAGGAGGTGAGAGTGTGAGTGAGTGGGAGAATGAGACTGCATGTGCCAGGTCGCACCATACATGCCTTGCCAGGAGATAAGACAAGTGCCGGCGCGAGGGAGGAGGTGAGCACGAGGGAGGAGGTGAGCACGAGGGAGGAGGTGAGTATGAGGGAGGAGGTGAGTATGAGGGAGGAGGTGAGTATGAGGGAGGAGGTGAGTATGAGGGAGGAGGTGAGTATGAGGGAGGAGGTGAGTATGAGGGAGGAGGTGAGTATGAGGGAGGAGGTGAGCATGTGAGTCAGTGCTCCCTCGTCCACTCCCATTGCCACTCCCTTCATCCACTCCCCTCATCCACTCCCCTCCTCCTCCTTCTGGACTCTTTACACCGCTCCCCTCTCACCTTGCACCACAGCAGCACATATTCCAGCTCAGGACGTCCCTCCAGCATTCCAACACCAGAGCCACGAGTTACGGCCCCCCACCCATCACATCCCTCATGCCCTCTGCTTCAAACGTCCCCAAGCCTTCCAGACACCCCCTCCCCCACTCCCCCCGCTCACCTTGCACCACTGCAGCACGTATTCCAGCTCAGGCCGCCCCTCAAGCATGGCTGCCACGGCCGCCACCAGAACCGCCACCGTCCCCCACAGAAGTGCACTAGAGATCCCTCATCATACAGCCCTTTGCCTCAACCCTTCCCCCCATCCCCCCCTTCCCCCCCTCCACCTCACCTTGCACCACAGCAGCACATATTCCAGCTCAGGTCGTCCCTCAAGCATTGCTGCCACGGCCGCAACCACCTTCCCCAGCCGCTTCCTCGGCAGCGCCGACACTGTTGCACCCAGCCGCTCGGGCGGCACCGCCATCATTGCATCCTGTAGCAGCTTCGTCTCATTCAGCCGCAGCGCCATCTGTATCGCCCTGGCATGCAGCCCAGCGGCTGTAGCAGCCGTTACAGCCGCAGGCGTAACATCCATGTCTAAATCTGACGGGTCAAACACCACCCCTTCATCCAACCCAAACACCACCAGCCCCTCAGTTGTCGCCGCCGCCCAGGACTGCCCGGTCGGCGAGAATTGGATTGCCTTCACGCGGATCTCCGGGCGGCGCTGGCTGCCGTTTCTCGCCGCCCCGGGGAGGTCGGAGCCAAGCAGCGTGTGGCGGCGCTGGCGGTGCGAGTCGTCGAGGTCGTTGTCGTCCAAATCAGAGTCGCTTATATCGAGGATGTCGAGCGGGCCTGCGTCCGTCATGCGGTGCGGGTTGAGCGAGTCCATGGCGCCTGAGAGAGACTTGTTGCTCGTTATCAGGTAGCGCCGCAGCAGCAGCTGGTGAGGGAGGGCACGAATGGGGGCGAGAAAGGAGAGGGTAGGGGTTGGAAGCAGAGATACTTGGTCATGCGCTGGGGCTGAAGGAAATTTTGGGGTGATAAGGCCCGATCCGTCGCATCCCACCCCACACTTCACCTTCCCACCGCACAGCACCACTCACTCACCATCTCCGCCACGTCATACAGACAAACGTATCTGCTCGTCCCAGCAGCCAGCAAAAAGCACCCATCCGCCGAGTAACACAGACTCCGAAAGCTCTTATCCCCCAGCCGCAGCGCCCCCCGCGCGGACTTGCTGCCCTTGCCGCCCGCCGCCGCCGCCCCACCAACCAAATCTCGCCGCCCCTCGATGCTACCCTGCAGCTCGCCCTCGAGGGGGTCCCACAGGTGGATGTGGCCGTCCAGCGTGGCGGTCGCCAGCTGGCGGCCGTCCGGGCGGAAGGCGAGGGCGAGCACCTCGTGCGAGTGCGGGAGGGGCTCTGTGCCACCCTTGGCCTCAAACACGTCCCACAGCCGACACGTGCTGTCCCACGCTGCTGATGCTAACAGTTCCTGTGGTGCAACGGGAAGGGTTGAGGGGAGGTTTACTGGAGTTACTTTGAGAAGTCCCTAAAGCTAAAGGGAAGAAGGGTAGGGGTGGGCGAGAAGGCGAGACTATGCATGTTCCACAAACACGCACCTATATCCATCTCGGCTAACACCTCCCAACATTGCTCTGCTCACCTGCGTGGGAGAGAAAGAGAGGCTGTGAACCGGCCCCTCGTGCCCTGACAGCACGTCCAGCAGCCGGCCCGTGCGCATGCTCCACACGTACACCTGGAAGTCATCCTGACTCGCCGCACACACCACCTCGCCCGACGGGTGCACAGCCAGAGACGCAAACTGCACGGGCTGCGGCGTGGTGAGAGTGCGGAAGCACCGGTACCGCAAGAGGTCGAACGCCCGCACCGTGCCGTCCAGCGACGCGCTCACCACCGCCCCGCCGCCCCCGCCGCCGCCCGCGCCGCCCGCCGCCGCGGCCGCTGCCGACCCCGCGCCGCCGGACGGGAGGAATGCCACGGCGGTAACCGGGCCGGTGTGCTCGGCGAGTGTTACAAAGCAGAACCCCGATGCGAGGCTCCAGACCTTCACCTTGGCGTCGTCCGACCCGGTTACCACACGGGTGCCGTCCGGAGAGAACGCAACACAGCTAACATCATAGAAATGACCCTGAACCTTCATCACGTAGGTTTCCGATCGCCACTCCCATACCAGCAGCTGCCCCAGGCGCGCACAGCCCACTGCCACCCAGTCCCCCGCCTCGTTGAACGAGACGGAGGAGATTTTGGTGCGGGAGATGGACATGAGGTGCAGCGTGGCGAACTCGGGCAGCTGGTAAAGCCCAAAGATGCCCGAGGAGAAGCCGGCGACGAGGAGATTGGTGGGCTTGTGCAGGTCGCAGGAGGTGAGGCGCGCCTTGGGCAGCATGAAGAAATGTTTCGCCTCAAGGCGCCACTTGCCCTCGTCCAATCGGAAGTCCCGGCGGACATGGGCGGGTGTGGGTGCCTTCTCTACCAGCCTTGTTCTCTTCCTTGGCTGCTCCTCCTCCTCTGCCCCCTCCTCCTCATTCCCCTCCTTATCCCCCTCCTCCTCCTCCACTTCCTCCTCATCCTCCTCCTCCTCTTCCTCATCTTCCTCCTCGTCGTCCTTCTCTGCTTCCTTCTCCATTTCACCATCCTCCTCCACCTCAGCCCCTTTCTCCTCTTCCTCTTCCTCCTCTTCTTCTTCTTCCTCCTCCTCCTCTTCCTCTTCCTCTTCGTCTTCCTCCCCTTCCTTCGTCTTCCCTTTCTCTCCTTTCTTCACATCCTTCCCCTCATTCTCCTCCTCATTTTCCTCCTCATCATCCTCCCCCTCCTCCTTATCCTCATTCCCCTCCTCATCATCCCCATCCTCCCCGCCATCATCTACCACCTCCCCGCCTTCCCCCTCCTTAGACCTCTTATAAACCTTTACCCCCTTATCCCCCTGGTCCCCCCTGCTGGCCCTGCGCCCCTTCCCCTTCCGCCTCCGCCAGCCCTTGTGCAGCGGGTCGAAGAACCACGAGAACAGCGCGCCGTCTTTCGACACAGTGTATATCCGCAGCGCCTTTTCCGCCCCCCCGGGTCCCTCCCCCAGCCCCTCCTGTCCCCCCTGAACCCCCCTTAAACCCAGAGCCACGTCCGCCCGTTTGAAGTTTGGGCCAGCTCCAGTCATAATGGCAGAGCCCCCTCCATAGAAGAACGCGCCTATAATCACATCCTTGTGCCCAGTCAGTCGCACCGGCTTGTACATTTTGAGGGAATCCAGGGAGTAAATCCTGGCCGTTAAATCCTTGTTTGCGGCCACGATCCACTTTCCGTCGGGAGACCAATCAATCGCCGTGACCTTGTCGTAACCTCCCGAAAACGACTTGAACAGTCGCATGGGCGAAAAGGTTTTTCGCATTTCAGGCGTGTGCCAGATTTGGAGTTGTCGCCCAACCCCTGCTGCGAAGAATTTTCCGTCTGGGCTGAATCTGAGGGCTCCCACGGGGAACTTGAATCTGAAAAGATGGAGCACAACGCGCCGATGCACGTTGACCATTCTGGACCGTCCATCTGAATCGACGGCTATCAGAAGGTTTCCGTCGGGGGATAGCGCGATGAGAGAAACGTCAGTCATTGTCTGGAACGGAAGCGTGTTCGACTCCGATGCCGTCAGGTCTACGACGTTGACGCGGTTACCAACAGGCGAATAGAGTTTTGTGTCTTCGCGAAGGAGGATGTTACCTCCTCGGTACGGCGCACCGAGGAGGTTCTTGAAACGGTAATTCATGACGGCGGACCCAATGCGACCAGGTAAGTAAGGAACGGCTAGTTAGTACCTACGCGAGCACGATAGGCAAGTGATTCCGCGACCTTCAAATGGTCGGAAAAGAATAAGGTACTAAAAAGGGAGGAATGAAACCCAGGTGCTGCGGTGCGGAGAGGGGGAAATATGGAGGAAGGATGTCCGCGGTTGTGGATGCATCGGTTGCCGTTACGTACTGGTTCATATGGTAGTACAACATCCTGAAACTACCATGTAGCGAGTCCCCCCTTCGGGTTTCATCACCCGCCAAACCAACCATGAGTTTGCACGACGACGACCACCTGCCAGCGAACAACAAGCCAGATGCGACAGATCCGATCGGAGCCGTCAAATCTTTACCTTTTGTCACTGATGCCAGTTCGGCCCTTGGATGAATCCTGGGCGCCACGTTTCATCGCAGATCGTTCGATCATTCCGTTTTGCTTTGACTTCCAGCTGAGCCGTTTCTCCTCTCCAGCTATACAGTAAGCCAGTGGTTGGTTGGCCAGTGGTCAGGTCACGTCTGTCATCACGTCTCCCGTAACAACCCTTGCTGTGCTGTCGATCATGGATGCATCGCCGCCGCGTCCTTTCTTACCCAGCCGAGCCTTGTCCCATCATCGCAACCGTCCATAAACAAGAACTGTGATTTGCAGTCAAACCAAACGAAACCCAAACGTCAGTCAGGAACAACCAAGCCACGTGCCAGTCACTTTCCCTCGCACCCTGTTGGCCAATAAGCTCCTCCTAAAGCCCCCCAGCTCCTCGCCGAAGCTTCTCCATTGACCTCACCGAACCTGGTGAACCTCGTTCACACCCCTCACCCGAACTACTTCCCAGACGTCTGGTACATTCTCGAGGTTCCCGAGGCTGCCGAGCAACATCCATCCAACCATCCATCCATGACCCAGGGAGCTTCGCGGCGATCTCCCTCGATTCCACCGCACACCAGCCCAGCGTCAGGGAGCACATGCGTGCACCCGCCGCAACCTCTTTTCTACTGACTCCTTCCACCTCCACGTTCTGTTTTGAGTCGGTTTTCACGAAGCGAGTTGTGTTCTGACAGCAGTAGTACACGAATCTGACCAGTGTGCGCAACGACTATTGTGCTGAAAGCTTATTATTGACTGGACTCAAATCATATCGTGTTAGGACTGACGATTGGTATTGCATCTAAGAAAGCGATTCGTCGTTCTTAGAGCATAGCTATTTATCTCGAATTTTATCTGGCCAGAAACTTGTTGCTTGTGAAGGTTCCCCTCGACAAGTTGGGTCATGGTGAATTACCCCATGAAACCGCCTCGAATAGAAGTAAGTCGTGTGCTTTCGCTATATCCCAATTATTTATAGCTTCCGTTTCCACGATCGAGCGGTGAATAAGTAGCTCATGCCGGCCATTTTGCTGAAACCAGTTGTCTTTTCATGAACCACTCTAACCGCAATTCTCATCCCCTCCCTCCCGTCCCTCTCTACCTCCGCTTGTCACGCAGGACGGCACGCTGTGCATGCTCGGCGCTCGCACGCACAGCAGCTGCACGCTGCACCTGCCTCCCACCCCACCCATCGCACCCTCTTCCTTAGACTCGCGGATTCAGTGTCAGGAGCAGCAGCAGCAGCAGCAGAATGGGGGGTTACCTCAGCCACAGGAGCATCGCAATCAGTCAGTTTTAGGGTCGGGAGGGTCCACGTGGCCTGTCGTCCGCTCCGGCTTTAGCGCGGATAAAGGCGGCCGGCAGCGGATGGAGGACGCCCACGTGGCGGTAGATGATTTGTCACAGGCTATTGGTGACGTGGCTGTTGCGCATCCGCGAGCTTTTTACGGGGTGAGTCACCAGTACGTTCAGCATGAGGCTCGGTTAAGAGTAGATGACGTAGGCACGTCAACTCCTGCTCAGTGGTAGAGAGCTCTTCTTTCGTCACTAAACTCTTTTATAGTCATTCTCGTTAACTTATCCGTCGTTTAACATCCCTCCCGTCTCGTCAATTGTCCCGTCGGCTCATCCTAACCGTCCCGCTCCGCAGATCTTCGACGGTCACGGCGGCGACGCGGCGGCGCAGTTCGCGCGGCAGAAGCTGCTGGGCCACGTGCTGCGCGACGCGGCGTTCCCGCTGCACGTCGGCAGCGCGCTCAGAAACGCGTTCCTGCGGACGGACCGCGAGCTGGAGACGGCGCGCACGGCGGAGGGGCACGCCATGGACTCGGGCACCACTGCGCTCGCCGTGCTGCTGCTGGGCAGGTGGGGAGACCATAGATGATAGATTGTGTGCGTTGTGGTTTACGGCCGTGCAGTGCGGAGTGAGTGCTGCTGTACTGATAGTCAAGCTCTAAGCGGTGCTGTTGCTAATAGCGCTGCGTCCCACCTACCATCCCCATCCCAACATCACCTCGTCCCTACCGCCTCGCCCTTTCGTCCCCTCATCCCCCCATCCCCCCATCACCCCTATCACCCGCCCCCCCTTGAACCAATTACCCCATCACCCCATTCCCGCATCACCTCATCGCCTCGTCCCCCCACCCCCACCAACCCCTGCAGGTCGCTGTACGTGGCGAACGCGGGGGACTGCAGGGCGGTGCTGTGCCGCAGGGGGCAGGCGGTGGAGCTGTCGCGGGACCACCGCCCCAACTTTCCCACACACCCCTTTCCGCCCCCAACCCCTGCAGGTCGCTGTACGTAGCAAACGCGGGGGACTGCCGGGCGGTGCTGTGCCGCAGGGGGCAGGCGGTGGAGCTGTCGCGGGACCACCGCGCTGTCTGCCAGCACGAGCGCGCGCGCGTGGAGCGGGCGGGCGGGTGGGTGGTGGACGACTATTTGAACGACCAGCTGGCTGTCACCAGGGCGCTGGGCGACTGGCACATTGAGGGCCTCAAGACCCGCCGCTCCTCTGCGGCCGCTGCAGCTGATTCAGCCGGTTCAGCTGGTGCAGCTGGTGCTATAGATGCTGCTACAAGTGGTGCTACAAGTGGTGCTACAGGTGCTGCTACAGATGTTGCTACTGATACGGCAGGTGGCAGTCATGCTCCAGGCAGCAGTGAAGCGGACGCTGCTGTAAGAAGTGCCAGTAGCGCCACCTGTACAGGCCCTACAGCAGCGATGGCGTCGCTACCATCCCCTGGTAGCGACAGCGACAGTGACGTTATAGAGGGGCCGCTTATAGCGGACCCAGAGGTGCACGAGGCGCATCTGTCGAACCCCGAGGACGAGTTTCTGGTGCTGGCGTGTGACGGGCTGTGGGACGCGTTCAACAATGAGGGCGGCGGCAGCAAGGAGGTCGTGGCGTTCGCTCGCAGGCGACTCAGACTGCACAACGACCCCCAGCAGTGCTCCAAGGTGCAGCTTTTGCATTCATCTTCAAGTTTAAGCTATCTTAGAACTCTCGGCTTACGGTATCCCTAATCCCCTGCTCTAGTCCTTCCCCGCTTTGCCAGTCGATCCCTGGAGTGCACTCAGATCCGATCATGTGTGGTTTGACTCATTGCACCGCACTGTCATCACTCTGTTCCGTCTCACAGGATCTAGTGGAGGAGGCGATCCGGCGGCACGCGTGTGACAATGTGACGGTGCTGACGGTGTGCTTCTCACTCGACCCCCCGCCACTGCTGCAACACCATGAGCTGCTGCACTCGCAGCTTCCTCGCAGCTTCTCAGAGTACAGCCTTAGATGCCTCAACTGAGCGGGAATGGAAGGCACGGGGGCCAAGTGAAGGGGGGAATCTCCATTGATGGGGGAGATGTGTCAAATAGGGGACGTGTTGGGAATTTGACTGGATGGAGGGGTGGGGACTGGGGCAGGCGGGTCGCCGCAGCCTGCTTTGATTGGGTAGGCCCATTTCTCTTTCTGTGCTGTGTTGAGCTGGTCATTATCCAGCCATGTGTGAGCTTGCTTACCGTTTCAACGGTTTGTGTTAATATATGTATATGACATCTGTTTACTGGTGCTGTACATACTTGAATTTGCAGATTCTGTGCTGTTCATTTCAAGGTATGGCCGCTTGCACCACATGCAGGTTTCTAGTGGTCACATCACACACGGTAGCGGAGTGACTAGTACTACCCCATGTTGTCATTCCTTCCATGCACACCAGTCCAGAAGGGGTGATTAGACTGTCTGATTTCTACTACATAAGGCCACAGCCAGCCGCGGTACAAACTGGTCTGAATGACTCATACCACTCAACATACAGGTGACTAATGGACCACCACCAGCCTCCAACAGAGTGAAAATAGGATGAAGCTCTTCACATTAAAGTGATCTGCAAGAACCCATAAGAGTCACCAATACACAGCAAGCATGCATCACAGCAGCAGCAAACGGCCCTTGTGCCATGTCAACTCCAGGTCATGGAGTGGGTGGGAAGAGAGGTGCTGGGATCAGGCAGCCTCGGATCAGGCAGATGACTTCACCGCCTCAGAGACTTGCCGGATCACTGCAGCAGAGACATGGTGGGACATGCACGAAGGGAGATTATTACCGGATCACATCACAAGGCTTGTTACATGGAGGCTTCAAAGAGTGTGTATATTATGGCGTACTTATGGACGCCAGCTACTTTAGGGGAAACGCTGGAACTTCAGCAGAAATGGCGGGAGCTTCGTCCAAAGTGGCGGGAAGTGTTGACTGGGAATTTACACTGAAACCGATCGACGAGTGAATCTATGGCGATCGCTGCGCATAGGGCGAGGTGAGGCGACGAGGCTTTCGGAATACGCACCTGGCTTATCCGGCACGCCCTCCTTCCACTGTGCGACCTTGTTATACACCTGCTCGCGCGCGATCGCTGTGCAAGGGCGAGTGATACGGACTCAGGTGATACCCAGGGATGGGGATGCGGAGGGATACGCACCTGGCTTCTCCGGCACGCCCTCCTTCCACTGCACGACCTTGTAGTACACCTGCTCGCGAGCGATCGCTTGTGACTTAAGCGGCTCCTTGAGGCACGCCCGCAGATGCGCAGCGCACTGATTCGCGTACGCGAGATACGTCATCCCCGCTGCGCGCCAGTACGACGAAGCCGCCATAGTTTACTACTGCTTCTCTCCCTCCACTTGACGGATACTCACAAGGCTACCCGCGAGACGAGGCGTGAGGAAATGGCGGAGACGGGATGGACGTGGCGTGGAGTGGTGGAGAAGTGGTGATGCGGGATGGGAAGCACACAGGCTGGCGGGGGGAGTCGGAAAATAGGGTTGCTTCAAGGAAGGGAGGGGGGAACGGCGGGGAAAGGGCACGGGAGGTGGCGCAAAGGGGGTGGGGGAGAAGTGCGGAGGTATGCGAAGATTGGCTCCCTTCGAGAGTGCTCTGTAACAGCGAAGCGCAATATTTTCCCTGTGCGAGCGAGTAACAGGTCGCGAATTTGTTCGCTCAGCTTCACAGTTTCCAGCAACTGCAGCTGAATCACTTCGCCTCTTTTATTTCTGTCATCACTTCATTCTTGATCGTTTATGGCGGCCTGGTTCCAGGCCAGGCATGTAGAACTTTGCGCATGCGTGTTCGACTACACACCGTGTAATTGAGTAATACGTTTGTGAGGTCGGAGTTTGACGGCGTTCGGAAATGACGGCATTATCTTCGCCCGCTGCGTTCGCGAGGACTGGATTATCCACGCCGTCATCCTTCAGCCGCTCCCTTCCGCTGAATTCGAGGCTTGCGGTTCGCTCCGCACCCCGCAACTGTCGCGTTTCCCGGCTCTCATGCCAAGCAGAATCATCCCAGTCGCCGATTCAATGTCTTGATGATTCAATAGGGTCTTCAGACGTTTCCCAGATAACGATCGAAGCTTCCGAGTCGAATCAATCCGATCCTCTTCTCGACGCGCTGACGTGCAACACGGATGCTGACGTGGCAAGCTTCCACTTTCCGGCTCATCGCAGGGGCCTCGGAGCTCCTCCCCGTGCGCGCTCCGCGTTCGGTGCTGACGTTTTCCGCCACGATTTGCCAGAGCTGCCGGATCTCGACAACCTCTTCGCGCCAGAATCCGTCATCGCCGAGGCGCAGGAGCGCGCAGCGAGAGTATTCGGCGCGTCGGAGACCCGTTTCTTAGTCAACGGCAGCACTGTGGGCGTGCAGGCGGCCATAGTAGCCTGTTGCCGACCCGGCGACGTCCTTATTCTCCCTCGCAACGCTCATCAATGCGCATTTTCCGGTATGGTGCTATCAGGAGCCGTGCCGCACTATATCCTCACTGTGACCGATAATTCTTGGGGTATTGCTCACGGAGTTACCCTGGAGAGCGTTACAGAGGCATTACGCCACGTGGCTGCTACTGGAGCGCGAATAGGAGCTGTTCTGGTGGTTTCCCCGACCTATTATGGGGTATGCAGCGACATCAGGGGAATCGCCCAGGCGTGCCACGAGGCAGGCGCGCCGTTGATAGTAGACGAGGCTCACGGGGCGCACTTTAAGTTCCACAGCGCGCTCCCAGAGACGGCGCTAGATGCGGGGGCGGACATAGTGGTGCAGTCGACGCACAAGGTGCTGGGATCGCTCACTCAGTCCGCCATGCTGCATATCGGCCATGGGGATTCAGGCTCATCGGTTGAGAATGTGGGTGAAGCCGCATTACCACAATCGCCAGAAACACCATTGCAGTCAGCAGTACCACCACCTTCAGCAGCAGCGCCACAGCCAGAAGTACCACTGCCGCCATCACCCCGTGTGAGCCCACGAGACGTGGCGCGAGCGCTGCAGCTGCTGCAGTCATCGTCGCCCTCCTACCTGCTCCTCGCGTCCCTCGACGCCACCACCGGCCATGTCGCCCGCCCCTCTTTCCCCTCCGCCCTCGCTCACGCCCTCCACCTCGCCACCCGCCTGCGCTCCTCCCTGCTTGCGCTCAACCTGCGAGTCCTCCTCAGCCCAGCCCAACCCTCGAGAAGCCTTAAACAGCCCGAGAGGCATGCAGGGTTTGACCCGCTGCGGGTGACGGTGAGCGTGAGGGAGCTGGGGCTGACAGGGTACGAGGCTGATGATGTGCTGAGGCTGCAGCATGGGGTGGTGGCAGAGCTGCCCTTCCTGCATGGCCTCATGTTTGCTGTCAGCACTGGCAGCACTGAGAGCGATGTGGACCGTCTTGTTGCGGCATTCGCTGCCATGGTGGAGGAGAGAGGAGTTAGTGAGTGTGTGGATGGAGTGGAGTGGGAGGAGGGCGAAGTAAAGCTAGAAGAAGTGTTGTTTCCGGTTGCGCCACCGACTAGCAATGGGACTTCAGTGTGCTGCCCGCAATTACCCCCACGGGATGCGTTTTTCTTGCACAGTGAGGTTGTTCCAGCTCAGCAGGCGGTGGGGCGCTACAGTGCAGACATGCTGTGCCCGTACCCCCCTGGAATCCCTGTGTTGCTGCCGGGGGAGGTGGTCACTGCAGAGGCACTGAAACTGCTGCAGAGAGTGCTGAGTCTAGGAGGCTCTGTGTCTGGCCTGCCCTCTGAAAGCCTAGACGCCATACGCGTTATTGGATGAAATGTTATGTTGGATTCATCTGTCCATCGATCGAACATGTTCCTGTCATAGAATCTGATCATTTATATGAAGTGGTAACAACTTGAACCTGATTTCTTATACAGAAGAGTTCTCCATATGCTTCAAAAGGCCAAATACAGTATGTCATGTATTGGACATATTTTAGCAGGATTCGCGGAATCATAAATTTCAGTCAATGCGAATCTTTGCTTGAGCGAGGACAAACCAATTTCGTTGGTTTTGCGGCGGAGCTGCCAGCCCTTGCTTCGGGTCTGTGTCAGGCGGCTCGTCTGCCAGCTTTGAATTGCCGAGCCGATTTTCCCTACGATTTTGTTACACTCCATGGCTTTGATTCCGAACCTGCTCGCTTCTGGTTTGGACTTGCTTGGAGCGAGCTTCGATCAGAGCCCGCGCAAAAGGTTTTACCTGCCGTGCTGGTAGGGCAGGGACGGCGAGACTGCTTGTATTGATTGTATCCTTGCTCTCTGTCTGCCAAAGCCCTCCCCTTCCTGCTCGATCTCTCATATCTGCCTCTTACCTCACTTGCCACCTCGCCGCCATGGCTTCCTCCAGATACCTAGATCGGTCTGATTGTGTTATGATCACGCAGCGGGATAGTTCAGATTGACAACTTTATTATACAGTGCTTCAGATCGCTCGAACTAGCTGGCAAACTTACGAGTGTTGAAATGGTTCCAGTTTTAGTAACTTCTGACGTTATCTTTAGTACGTATCAGATAGGTTCTGCATCCAGCTAGACTCCAGCAGCTCTTGTGGAAGTTAAGGCGAGAATTCGTGAACTGCCGAAGGTTATCGATGCTGCAGTGAACACGTTGAGTAGCTGTGCGACGAGCTAGTCATTATCTGCACGGATTACTCTTACGCACAGTAGTTGCGACTATAGCCATCATCTGTAGCCGCACTTGAAGCAGCGAATCGCTGTAGCAGCCCTGACACGTTTAACTTCAACTGTCACGCATAAAGTATCGGCAGCAGCGGATGCAGCAGAGGATGCAGAAGCGAGCACCGCAGACCCGTGCACAAAGAATACTGACATGTCGATCGCCTGGAGATCTTGTCGATCACGGTCAACGGTCGCTGGCAAAGTCGGCCGGCGCCGGCGTCGATTCTTGTCATTGCGGCGACGATTCTTGTCGTTGCGGCAAAATCTCCGTTCGAGCTTGGAGAGCGAGCACGGCGAAATCTCCGTCCGAGCAGCAAGAGTGAGGGTGGTTCCACGTCGTGACGGCGACGGTTCACGCCGGTTTCGCTGCTTCCAACGAAAATCTGACTCCTCCCACCGGTGATCATCCCGCGGCAGCGCGAGCGAGACAGGCGACGACAGTGGGTCGCGCGACGACGGGAGGCAGCGACGATGCAACGGCTACGACTGAAGGAGGGGAACGGCGCATCAATGCTCGATTAGGGAAAGGAAGCGTCTTGCGTCGAATGGAGCTGAACGGGGGGACGACAGCGACGCGCGACGCCAGTGGGACGCGCGGGATGGTAGGCGAGTGGAGATGGGAGGCGCGCGACGAGGGGACGCGCGGAAGTATCGCACGTCAGCGCGAGCAAGACTGGCGAGACGCGAAGCGACGGGCGATACGCCAAGCGACGGGCGATACGCCATGTCATGGGCGACACGCCAAGCGACGGGCGAGGCGCCAAGCGACAGGCGAGGCGCCAAGCGACGGGCGAGATGCCAAGCGACGGGCGAGACGCCATGCGACGGGCGACACGCCAAGCGACGGGCGAGGCGCCAAGCGACGGGCGAGGCGCCAAGCGACGGGCGACACGCCAAGCGACGGGCGAGGCGCCAAGCGACGGGCGAGATGCCATGCGACGGGCGAGACGCCATGCGACGGGCGAGACGCCATGCGACGGGCGAGACGCCATGCGACGGGCGAGACGCGAAGCGACGGGCGAGACGCGAAGGGACGGGCGAGACATCACGGAGCGAGCGTCCGTTGACGTGAGGGACTGGCGTAAGGGCGAAGGGAGGAGCGAAGGGCGTGGAACATGGAGGCAACGGGAGGCAGCGACTAAGGGGAGACGCGCGATGAGGGCGGAGGCGCGGCGAGGGAGGATGCGCGTCGAGGGGGGAGGCGCGACGAGGGGATACGCGTGGCGACGGGGGAAGCGCGGCGACGGTGGACTCGTGACGAGGGGGGACGAGGGACGGCGCAAACCCTGCAACCCGAGCACGCATACGAGGGACGACGTGCGCCATGCGGCGCGTGCGCGAGTGGTGCGCGAGTGGTGCGGGTGGCGTTCCCCTGAGCCCGCCAAGATGGCCAGGGCTCGGGACATGCTGACGAGTGCGGTCCACACGGAAGGTGGCGCGGTCCCCGAGCTCGGCACATGCTGGCGAGCGCGGACAACATGCAGTACGCCAGATCCGACAAGCTCATCGTGATGGCTCACCGCGTTTTCCCGAGCTGGCCGCTGATCTGACCACCTGGACATGCGGTGCGCCAAAGCCGTGAAGCTCACATCATGGCTCACCGCGTCAACGCCGCTGTGCTTGACTTGCTCGGGGTGAGTGTGAGTGTGGTCCCCTTCCTTTCTCCCATCCTTTCTCCCCTCCCTTGCCCACTCCACTCCCGCCGCCCTCCTCTGCTCTCCGCGTCGACGCGTGTGTTTCCATTTGACGAGCTGCTTGCTCGTTTGCTCGTGTGTTTCCGCGTCACTGACTGCCGCCTCCCAACGTCCCCTTCTCATCCTCCCTGCCCATCCGTCCCCCCATACATTGGAGCAGGATCTGCAGTCGCCAATGAAGCGTGCAGCGGTGATTCCATGGGGGCGGAGGCCAGCGAGCATAGCTTGAGTCCGACCAACATCATTGCGCTCCGCGACCAGGTCAGTGGTCAGAGAGGCTCTGGTCAACGCAGGTCAACGCGAGGTCAACGCAGGTCAATGCTGGTTTGGGTCGCGTTTAAGCCCCATGGGGACGGGGGTCAGCGAGCATGGCATGTGTCTTACCCACATCATTGCGCTCTGCGACCAGACCAGGTGGGTAACACGTTTTGATGAACACAGGGACAATGCATTGAAATGTCTGCCATGCTGGTTACGCACACTCACAGTGCGGCGTTAGTGCAACTGCATACGTGACTTTGGTTGTTGCTGCTGCCGCCCGTGCTGTTGGCTCACTATCCATCTGCTGCTCCTGCATTTGGTTGTACCTCTAACTGCTGAATCTTCTTCCATCTGCTGCATTCCGTGGTGAGTGTGCCTGCTGAGTGAGCAAGTGACCCAGTTACTTGCTGCCCTGGTTGTGAGTGTGTTATGAGTGCCTCATGTGGTTTTGAGTGTGTTATGACTGCCTCATGTGCTTGTGAGTGTGTTATGACTGCCTCATGTGGTTGTGAGTGTGTTATGACTGCCTCATGTGGTCGTGAGTGTGATATGACTGCCTCATGTGGTTTTGAGTGTGTTATGACTGCCTCATGTGCTTGTGAGTGTGTTATGACTGCCTCATGTGGTTGTGAGTGTGTTATGACTGCCTCATGTGGTCGTGAGTGTGTTATGAGTGCCTCATGTGGTTGTGAGTGTGTTATGACTGCCTCATGTGGTCGTGAGTGTGTTATGAGTGCCTCATGTGGTTGTGAGTGTGTTATGACTGCCTCATGTGGTCGTGAGTGTGATATGACTGCCTCATGTGGTTTTGAGTGTGTTATGACTGCCTCATGTGGTTGTGAGTGTGATATGACTGCCTCATGTGCTTGTGAGTGTGTTATGACTGCCTCATGTGGTTTGTGACTGTGTTATGACTGCCTCATGTGGTCGTGAGTGTGATATGACTGCCTCATGTGGTTGTGAGTGTGATATGACTGCCTCATGTGCTTGTGAGTGTGTTATGACTGCCTCATGTGGTCGTGAGTGTGTTATGACTGCCTCATGTGGTCGTGAGTGTGATATGACTGCCTCATGTGGTTTTGAGTGTGTTATGACTGCCTCATGTGGTTGTGAGTGTGATATGAGTGCCTCATGTGGTTTTGAGTGTGTTATGACTGCCTCATGTGCTTGTGAGTGTGTTATGACTGCCTCATGTGGTTGTGCGTGTGTTATGACTGCCTCATGTGGTCGTGAGTGTGTTATGAGTGCCTCATGTGGTTGTGAGTGTGTTATGACTGCCTCATGTGGTCGTGAGTGTGTTATGAGTGCCTCATGTGGTTGTGAGTGTGTTATGACTGCCTCATGTGGTCGTGAGTGTGATATGACTGCCTCATGTGGTTTTGAGTGTGTTATGACTGCCTCATGTGGTCGTGAGTGTGTTTTGAGTGCCTCATGTGGTTGTGAGTGTGTTATGACTGCCTCATGTGGTCGTGAGTGTGTTATGACTGCCTCATGTGGTTGTGAGTGTGATATGACTGGCCTCATGTGCTTGTGAGTGTGTTATGACTGCCTCATGTGGTCGTGAGTGTGTTATGACTGCCTCATGTGGTCGTGAGTGTGATATGACTGCCTCATGTGCTTGTGAGTGTGTTATGACTGCCTCATGTGGTTGTGAGTGTGTTATGACTGCCTCATGTGGTTGTGATTGTGATATGACTGCCTCATGTCGTTGTGATTGTGATATGACTGCCTCATGTGGTTGTGAGTGTGTTATGACTGCCTCATGTGGTTGTGATTGTGATATGACTGCCTCATGTGGTTGTGAGTGTGTTATGACTGCCTCATGTGGTTGTGATTGTGATATGACTGCCTCATGTGGTTGTGATTGTGATATGACTGCCTCATGTGGTTGTGAGTGTGTTATGACTGCCTCATGTGGTTGTGAGTGTGTTATGACTGGCCTCATGTGGTCGTGAGTGTGTTATGACTGCCACATGTGGTTGTGAGTGTGTTATGACTGCCTCATGTGGTTGTGAGTGTGTTATGAGTGCCTCATGTGGTCGTGAGTATGATATGACTGCCTCATGTGGTTGTGAGTGTGATATGACTGCCTCATGTGCTTGTGAGTGTGTTATGACTGCCTCATGTGGTCGTGAGTGTGTTATGACTGCCTCATGTGGTTGTGAGTGTGATATGACTGCCTCATGTGCTTGTGAGTGTGTTATGACTGCCTCATGTGGTTGTGAGTGTGTTTATGACTGCCTCATGTGGTTGTGAGTGTGTTATGACTGCCTCTTGTGGTCGTGAGTGTGTTTTGAGTGCCTCATGTTGTTGTGAGTGTGTTATGACTGCCTCATGTGGTCGTGAGTGTGTTATGACTGCCTCATGTGGTTGTGAGTGTGATATGACTGCCTCATGTGCTTGTGAGTGTGTTATCACTGCCTCATGTGGTTGTGAGTGTGTTATGACTGCCTCATGTGGTTGTGAGTGTGTTATGACTGCCTCATGTGGTCGTGAGTGTGTTTTGAGTGCCTCATGTGGTTGTGAGTGTGTTATGACTGCCTCATGTGGTCGTGAGTGTGATATGACTGCCTCATGTGGTTTTGAGTGTGTTATGACTGCCTCATGTGGTCGTGAGTGTGATATGACTGCCTCATGTGCTTGTGAGTGTGTTATGACTGCCTCATGTGGTTGTGAGTGTGTTATGACTGCCTCATGTGGTCGTGAGTGTGATATGACTGCCTCATGTGGTTGTGAGTGTGATATGACTGCCTCATGTGCTTGTGAGTGTGTTATGACTGCCTCATGTGGTTGTGAGTGTGATATGACTGCCTCATGTGCTTGTGAGTGTGTTATGACTGCCTCATGTGCTTGTGAGTGTGTTATGACTGCCTCATGTGGTTGTGAGTGTGTTATGACTGCCTCATGTGGTCGTGAGTGTGTTATGAGAGCCTCATGTGGTTGTGAGTGTGTTATGACTGCCTCATGTGGTCGTGAGTGTGTTATGAGTGCCTCATGTGGTTGTGAGTGTGTTATGAGTGCCTCATGTGGTCGTGAGTGTGATATGACTGCCTCATGTGGTTGTAAGTGTGTTATGACTGCCTCATGTGGTTGTGATTCTGATATGACTGCCTCATGTGGTTGTGATTGTGATATGACTGCCTCATGTGGTTGTGAGTGTGTTATGACTGCCTCATGTGGTTGTGAGTGTGTTATGACTGCCTCATGTGGTTGTGAGGTGTGTTATGACTGCCTCATGTGGTCGTGAGTGTGTTATGACTGCCACATGTGGTTGTGAGTGTGTTATGACTGCCTCATGTGGTTGTGAGTGTGTTATGAGTGCCTCATGTGGTCGTGAGTGTGATATGACTGCCTCATGTGGTTGTGAGTGTGATATGACTGCCTCATGTGCTTGTGAGTGTGTTATGACTGCCTCATGTGCTTGTGAGTGTGTTATGACTGCCTCATGTGGTCGTGAGTGTGTTATGACTGCCTCATGTGGTTGTGAGTGTGATATGACTGCCTCATGTGCTTGTGAGTGTGTCATGACTGCCTCATGTGGTTTGTGAGTGTGTTATGACTGCCTCATGTGGTTGTGAGTGTGTTATGAAATGCTGCAAGTGTGTGCTTGCTGCCCTGGTTGTGAGTTTGTTATGACTGCCTCATGTGGTTGTGATTGTGATATGACTGCCTCATGTGGTTGTGATTGTGATATGACTGCCTCATGTGGTTGTGAGTGTGTTATGACTGCCTCATGTGGTCGTGAGTGTGTTGTGACTGCCTCATGTGGTTGTGAGTGTGTTATGACTGCCCCATGTGTGTGCTTGTCGCCTTGGTTGTGAGTGTCTTGTGACTGCCTTGGGGTAGGTAAGGTAAGCAAGGGTGCAATCATGCAGCTCACTTCCCTAGGGGCAGCAGCTTGGGTGGTTTGTGGCTTGTTTGTGCGGGGGTGACAGGGGAACTAGTGCGACGACGGCCCTCGGTGCTCAAGTAACGAACCTGGCGTTAAAGCACAATAGGCCCTGCTGGAGTCGAGCCGGCCGGCTCTGGTTCGGGCAGGCTCATGCTACGCCAGGGGGTGGATTTGAGTCTTGTGCCAGTTCGCGCTTTTCCGCTTCCTCTCTTTGCACCTCAAAAAGCAACCACTCAAGACGTGCTGTTCCCGAATGGGGTGTCTGGATGCTCCTCTTTATGTTGGCAAGGTGGGACCCTCATGGCTGTTGGTGGCAATGGCCATTGCTGTGGTCCAGGTATGTGGTGGACATTGTGCATTGAGCATTAACATATAACATTTTTTCCCGAACGTCGAAACCTCCACCTCAGACGTGGTGTTCGGGTGAACATCAGGGCAACAGTCCTGATGGCCAAGAGAGATTTCAATGATATTTGTAGGTTGTTCAATGGTACCCCGATTTACTGGCTGTCTTTGAACTTATCTTGCTCGTGAAAGCAGCAGTTTCACTGTGGTCAGG